AAAAAAAAAAAAAAAATTAACCGGGCGTGGTGATGCGCGTTTATAATCCCAGCTACTTGGGAGGCTGAGGTAGGGGAATCGCTTGAACCAGGGAGGCAGAGGTTGCAATGAGCCCAGATTGCATCACTGTACTCCAGCCTGGCGACAGACCAAGACTCTATCTCAAAAATAAATAAATAAATAAATAAACAATTGTTCTTTATCTTCACTGTGGTAGTGCAGATGTGGGTGTGCACAACAGCTAAAATTCAACAAGTTGAACATTTTAAATAGATGCAGTTTGTTGTATGCAAATTATGTCCCAATAAGATGGCCTCTGGCCAGGGGCGGTGGCTGATGCCTGTAATCCCAGCACTTTGGGACCCCGACGCCAGAGCATCACGAGGTCTGGAGTTTCAGACCAGCCTGGCCAACATGGTGAAACACCACCTCTATTAAAAATACAAAAATTAGCCGAGTGTAGTGGGGGGAGCCTGTAATCCCAGCTACTCAGGAGGCTGAGGCAGGAGAATTGATTGTACGTGGAAGGCAGAGGTTGCAGAGAGCCGAGGCCATGCCATTGCACTCCAGCCTGGACAACAGAGTGAGACTCCGGCCCCAAAAAAAATAAAAATAAAAATATTACCCTCTTCGAGATTTGTACTTTGCTTATGTAAAAGAAAACAAAACAAAAACCCTGTTCTTGGGCCCAGGAGACACACCCTGACGCATCTGGAGGAAGAGGGCCATGCTGTCTGCCACTCACCCTCGCAGGCTCTGAAATAATAATAGCTGTGTATTTACAGACCCTGAGAGAGAAAGCTACGGTAAAAATGTTCATGAGTAGAACTAGGCAAAGAGCAAAAATAAAAGACATTATAAAACTATGTGTTTTAAATTTTCTCTCTCCTTTACTTCTTCTCTCCCCTTCCTATCTCTTCCCTCCTTTCTTCAACACGCCCCGCCCCCCATCCTTCCCTCCTTTTTTCACTCCCTGCCCTTGAACCCGGTGTATTCCAGCCTCGAGGCCAACACAAGTGACCGCGTCCGCCTGGGCAGGTCAGGGAAGGGACGCGAGGCGGCGCTGTCTCCGCCTTCTGTGAGCCGAGCGCCCTGGGCCCCGCGGGTCTTGTATCTTTTCGCTGAAGGTCACTCCGGTCTTTGATGGAGGGTGTAAATTAGGACCCTCACTGAAGGGGCGAGACCCTGAGGGGCTTTGTCCTGGCCCCTTAGTTGTGGGTTTTCCTGCGGGCGGTGGAGCCGGTTTCCATCAGAACAGCCCAGAGGCGGGCGCTGCCTTCCTGGGGTGACAGAGCGTTTTCGGATCCAAGAATCCGTGGGCGCCCCTGGGAGAGGCTGAGGCGCATTTCCCTACTCACCCGGATCCGAATCCACCGAGTCAGAATTCAAGCGAGTCAGATTCCAGATCGCGCTCTGGCCAGGAGCAAAATGAAAATAACCCCCCAAAAAAAGTACAAGGAATTCTCTTTTAACTTAAAAAAAAAAAACAAACCTTTTTCGATGCTGACAGAAGACCGACACGCTTATCATATCTTTCAGAATCTCTTGAAGTGTAAATTTCGTCAGAGTGCCAAACATAGAAAGTTTATCTCAACCAAATGTTCAAATGGACAAAACATTCTCTTAGAGTCAACGGGGACTGAACCAGCTGCCAGTTGATATGTGGGCAGAGAGAAGTTGAGTGTCTAATTCTGGGGGCATTCAGTCCTGAATTCAGGAATTCAGGACTCGGAATTCCTGCTCCGCGGGTCTGCATTTCACAGCGGCCGGTGTGGGTTCCCCAAAACCGGAAACCAGAACCCTAAAGGCAGCTCGGCCCTCCCCAGCCCACAGCGCCATTATTTCCTTTCTATATTAGTAGACACGCTTCATTTTCCATGGACCAGGGCTGGGGTGACCAGTGATCCCAGTCTTCGCAGTAAACTGCGGCAGCAGATTTCAAAAAGCTCGTGCCTGTAATCCCAGCACTTTGGGAGGTGGAGGCGGGCGGATCACCTGAGGTGGGGAGTTGGAGACCAGCCTGACCAACATGGAGAAACCCCGTCTCTACTAAAAATACAAAATTAGGGCCGGGCGCGGCCCTAATTTGGTGGGGGAGGGGATGCCAGGCTGGGCGCGGTGGCTCAAGCCTGTAATCCCAGCATTTTGGGAGGCCGAGGCGGGTGGATCATGAGGTCAAGAGATCGAGACCATCCTAGTCAACATGGTGAAACCCCGTCTCTACTAAAAATACAAAAAATTAGCTGGGCATGGTGGCGCGTGCCTGTAATCCCAGCTACTCAGGACGCTGAGGCAGGAGAATTGCCTGAACCCAGGAGGCGGAGGTTGCGGTGAGCCGAAATCGCGCCATTGCACTCCAGCCTGGTAACAAGAGCGAAACTCCGTCTCGAAAACAAACAAACAAACAAAAAAGTACAAAATTAGCCGGACTTGGTGGTGGATGCCGTAAACCCAGCTATTCGGGAGGCTGAGGCAGGAGAATCGCTTAAACCCGGGAGGCGAAGGTCGCGGTGAGCCGAGATCTGCCATTGCACTCCAGCCTGGGCAACAAGAGAGAAGATCCGATTCAAAAAAAAAAAAATCTTGGGGGAGCCGAGCCAGCTCCGCCCTGCGTTTTGTAAGCGACTGCGCTCAGCCCTTTCTCTTTGTTTTCCCAACCCAGCAATGGTGACTAAAGTCTGCGAGGAGGAAGTCACGTCTGTGCTCGTGAGTCATGGACTCTAAGGCAAGTGCGTGGGAGAAAACCTAGTTGGTGGGGCAGAGCAGAGGGGGCTGGAGGAGTGGAAAGGGAGGGCTTCGGATAGAAGACCTGGGAGGCTTGGTGGGGGAGGGAATGCCAGGCCTGGGCTATGAGAAGCTGCTCACCTGGAGCTCAAGACCATCTCCGCCTCCCCTAGCCCGGGAGAGGACTAGCTTCACATCTCCAAACAACCACTTCTAAAAGCCTTGGAACAAACCGCTGAATGAGACCCTTTGCTGGAGCTGGCACAAGGAGGAAGTCCTGGTGGGAGGGTAGACACTGGAGGGAAGGGCTTGGGACCTTCGTCATGAGAGCTGGGTCCATCTCCCTCTCTGTCTGTCACTAGGCTTATGATCTTTAGCAGTGAAAATAATCTCGATCTTTAGCAGTGAAAATAATCTCTCTAAGGTGGGGAAAGGACCCTGGTCCCTGCAGTGCTCAATAAATTATGAGGATCAAAATAAATTATTAGTGAATGTTAATGGGAAAACTAAGAAATTGTTAAAATTCTCTAATGCATTCCATTTTCATCCACAGAAAAGGGTAGACCAGGGATCATAGGGAAATAGCAATGACAGGTATAGTTCAACTTAAAAAGATGTTTGTGAGGCTGACAAAGAAGAAATGGAAACAGTTCCTGATCCTGGAGGGTTCATAGTCTAATGGGGGAGGGTAGAAGATGGCAAATGACACCTGGGTGTGGTGGCGCTCTCCTGCAGTTCCAGCTACTTAGAAGGCTTCGATGGGAGGATTGCTTGAGCCCAGCATTGGAGGACGCAGTGAGCTATAATCACACCACTGCACTCCACCTGGGTGACAGAGTGAGACAAAAAAAAAAAAAAAAAAAAAAAAAAAAAAGATTCAAGGCAGGGCACAGTCGATACCATCAGGAAGGTTAAAACCATGAGCTAGATCAGGAGTTCTAAAACTTGACTACACACTGGAATCACCTAGGGAACTCTAAAAGTTACTAAGGTTTAGGTACAACCTAGGTTTACTGATTTAACTAGTTTGGGCTGTGGCCTGGGAACATGGATATTAAAACTCTCCAGGTGGTTCTATGCAGTGGCTCGGTTTGAAGACCACTGACTAAATGTCCCAAAGACTAAGAGATGTGCGCTGGGAACAAGGCAATTCTCTCAGTAGAAAGAGGCTTTCCGGACAGCATTATTTATTATTGAGAATTGAGAATTCATATGCCACATAATTCATCCTTTGAAAGCGTACAGCTCAGTGGCTTTTAGCATAAATACAAGGTTGTGCCGCCATCACAACTATCTACATGAAAAGATTTTCTTCTTTTTTTTTAAGTCTAGACAAGTGAAATAGTGAAAGTGAATAAGAAACAAAGACATCCATAACTGGTTGTGATCAATTAGTTGTAAACGCCACCACACTCAGACCAGCCTAACTGGGAAGATTTTAAGGATACGGTGTGGTCTGATGGGCCCCAAGGCAGAGGTGACAGTAACCTGGACAAGGGACATGGCTTAGGCAGTGGCATCCTGGTGAGATAGGGTGAGGTGATCCCAGAGCCCACTTTTACTGCAACCCTGGGGAGATGTCACCAGAGAAATGGGGGCCGTGCCAGACAGCAGGTTTTGGCAGCTGTGGTTTCCATGGTGGAGTGGAAGCATCCTGTGTAACATTCAGCAGATGGGGCGCTGTGCTGGTTTGGAGCACTCTGGTTACAACTGGGGCAGGCACAGGGTTTAGGAAGCCGGTGCAGTCATCTAGGCTGAAGGGAGGGAAAAGCCTAGACTAAGGGAGTGGCTGTGGGATTGAAAGAGGGTTGGAGGAGCTGAGTTTGACTCCTGGAGATGAAGGGGAAAGAGGAAATCAGAAGGGACCAAGGATGCTGATGCTCTTAAGAGAAACGGAGTGATATGGTAGGAGATGTATAGAGAGTTTTTGTGGATCTGTCACATTGGAGGGGACTATGGTCCTGGAGGTGCAGATGTCCTAAGGCAGGCTGGAAAAGGAAGTCTGGAGAGAGCTTGGTGTTGTGGTGAACCATGGGGAGCCGCGTCCTTGGCCCTGTGATCAGCCGGGGACTGAATAGGCGGCCCTGCGATACCTCAGACACTTAGAGGATATTAGGGCGTGAAAGGGGACCTGGCATCTAGCCAAAGGGAAGAGAAGGCGATTCTAAAGCTGAAACGTCCTTTGTCGTCTGAGCGTGGCCCCGCCCTCTCTGCCTACGTGTGAACAAAGCTGTGCCCAAGTTCCCCGCCTTTATTTTCATGGGAGGAGCAGTTGCCGTGCTCCCTACCCTGCTCAGTCACGTCTGCTTCAGCAGCTGAGACGGTGGCGACGTCCGGGCCATGTGGCTGCGTTGGGTCCTGCTGTCTCTGGTCCACATCTTATCTTTTGCACCCCCGGGAGCCGCGACTGGTAGGTGGGGTTTCTGGCGGCCCCCCGCGGAGCTGCAGTGGCGCGGCGCTTCCGGGGGTCCCGGTGGGTCGCAGCGAGAGCAGCGCGGTCCGGGCGGGGCTCAGGTGCGGGGTCGGGGGTGCGGGGAGCTGGACGCGGCCCGTGGCCGCCACACCTCAGCCCTGCTTTCCCGTCTCTTTTCTGGCCTCCTCCGGACCGCGCATCACCCGCCCCTGCATTTTCCTATACTGCACTTTCTCTCCTCACCTCGCCTCCGCCTCGTCTCGCTTTTCGGACAAACCAGCCCTTCTGAAACCCCGGGGGTCCCGGGCTGCGCCCCCCACCCCGGGCTGCTCCTGTGAATGGCATTTGAGAGCCCTCCCCGCTCGGCCCCTACGGCAGCCACATCAACCGGTGCTGGGGGCGACTCCCAGGTCCCTGAAGCCCTGTCCTCTCCCCGGAGTCGGCGGGTTCTCAGCTCCTGTATTTGAGGCCCTCCTGTATTTGAGCTGGTGGTGATTTCTGCTGCTGTGGAGACTGTGGGGGTGGCTAAGGGGAAAGGCGGTTGGAAGCTGCAGGCTCCGGGCAGAGGATTCTTCCCGCGACTTCTCTCATTCCCAGCTCATTCTCCCCTGGCTCCTACTCCCGGGCGGTGGGTGGGGAATGGGGGGGACAAGGTTGAGGGACTCCTCTCCTCTCTGGCATCCCACCCCTGCTAATGACCAGTGATCTAAGGACACCAGATTCCCTGCCCCTCCTCCCCTGCCCATCTCAGGGCCCCCTGGGTCCTGCCGCCCTCCCAGCTCCCTGCTACCCCTTCCTGTCTGCAGTTCTCTGATCCATTTCTAGGGTGTCCTCTGCCCTCATCCCCTGGCCCCACCACAGCAGGTTTCTCCTGCCTCCCTTATGGGCCTTTCCTACAAGCAGCCTTCAGCGAGCGCTGCCCCTGTGCCTCCCACTCCCAACTGTCCCTGACCCTCACTTTCTCCTGCTGCCTTTTGTGGGGGGGTAAGAGAGGGTGGGGGTGGGGGGCCTTCCCTCCATCCCATTCCCCTCCAGACCACCCAGGGGGAGCCCTGGTGCCAATGACAGTTTGGTCTTAGGCAGAACACAGGGCAGTGCTGATGTCCCCTCCCCTCCAGTGCAGGTGCCTGCTCTGGGCCCTGCCTCACGGTGGCCCCTTCCCCTCTTCTTTATCCTCAGCCTCACCCTCTGGAGGACCCCACCCTCCAGCCCACAGGTGCTGGACCATCTCTCCCTGGTTCCTCCGCCCTCTCCACCTGGGGACATGTGTATGTGGAGTGATCTCTTACTCACCTGCCTTGGGCCCTCAACAAGTTCTCATCTTTCCCAAACCCCACCCCCCACAGAGCACCCTCCCCTCCTGTCCTCACCCTAACCCAAGTTCCTCCACAGTCACTCCTGCCCCACGCTCACGATGCCCTCCAGTTCTTGCTCTGCCCATCTCCCCTGCCCAACCCAGACCTAAAACAGGCTGTTGGTCCAGCTATTCCTTGACCTTCATTCTTTTCTTTCGGTTCCTCGACCCCAGTGGGCTCTCACTCCCTACACCACATACCTAAAATCTTTGTTTTACCTGCTCTTGGGGTGACTGTTCCCCCTCCAGTACTACTTTTGGCAGGCCCTTCCTCAGGCTGGGGGTCTCCTTCTCTACCTTGGTTTTCTCTCTCTGGCCAGCACCCCCAACTCCTGCTTTTTTTTTTTTAAATTTTTAACTTTGGTTTGAGTATGTAGTACATATATGTGTATATATTTATGGAGTACATGGAATATTTTAACACAGACATGCAATATGTAATAATCACATTAGGGTAAATGGGGTATCTATCACAACAAGCCTTTATCCTTTCTTTGTGCTACAAAAAATCCCATTATGCTCTTTCACTATTTTTACATGTACAGTAAATTATTGCTGACTTACCCTGCTGTGCTATCAGTGAGATCTTATTCATTCTAACTATATTTTTGTACCCATTAACCATCCCACTCCCCACTCCTCACTCCCCTTCTCAGCCTCTGGTAGTCATCATTCCATTCTCTCTTCTCATGAGTTCAATTGTTTTAGTTTTTGGCTGCCGAAAATAAGCGAAAACACTCGAAGTTTGTCTGTCTGTGCCTGGTTTATTTCACTTAACATAATGATCTCCGGGTCTTTGCGAATAGCAGGACGGCTGAATAGTACTCCACGTACACATGTGTGCCACGTGTTCTTTATCCATTCGTGTGTGGATGAACACTTAGGTTGCTTGCAGAGCTTGGCTATTTTGAACAGTGCCTCAATAAACATGGAAAAGTAGATAGCTCTTTAATATACTAATTTCCTTTCTTTTGGGTATATGCCTAACAGTGGGAGTGCTGCAGCATATGACAGTTCTATTAGGTTTTTAGTTTTGGGGAACCTCCACATTGTTTTCCATAGTGGTTGTACTAGTTTACACTCCCACCAGCAGTGTACAAGGGTTCTCTACATCCTTGCCAGCATTCCTTGTTGCCTGCCTTCTGGATAACAGCCGTTTTATCTGTGGTGGGATGACATCTCATGGTAGTTTTGATGCATTTATCTGATGACCAAGGATGTTGAGCACCTTTTCATATACCTGCTTGCCATTTGCATGTCTTCTTTTGAGAAACGACTATTCCGATTTGTGGCTCATTTTTAACTTGGATTATTAGATTTTTTTCCTATACAGTTGTCTGAGCTCCTGGTATGTTTCACTTACCAATCTTTTGTCAAATGAATAGTTTGAAAATATTTTCTCCCATTTGGATGGTCTTTTCACTTTGTTTATTGTTTTATTTGCTGTGTAGGAGATTTTTCTTCCTTTTTTTTCTTTTCTTTGTGTGTGTGTGTGTGTGTGTGTGTGTGTGTGTGTGTGTGTGTGTGTGTGTGCGGGGAGACGGTGTCTTTCTCTGTGGCCCAGGCTGGACTGCAGTGGCACAGTCTTGGCTCACTGCAACCTCCTCCTCCCAGGTTCAAGCAATTCTCCCGTCTCAGACTCCTGAGTAGCTGGGGCTACAGGCGCACACCACCACACCTGGCTAATTTTTGTATTTTTAGTAAAGACAGGACCGTGTTGCCCAGGCTGGTCTCGAGCTCCTGAGCTCAGGCAATCCACCTGCCTTAGCCTCCCAAAGTGCTAGGATTACAGGCACGAGCCACTGCGCCCAGTCTGTTTCCTTTGCTGTGCAGAAGCTTTTTAACTTGATATGATCCCATTTATGCATTTTTATTTTAGTTGCCTGTGGCTGTGGGGTATTACTTAAAAAATCTTTGACCAGTCCAACATTCTAGAGAGTTTACCCAGTGTTTTCTCTTACAGTTTCCTAGTTTGAGGTCATAGGTTTAGGTCTTTAATCCATTTTGATTTGATATTTGTATATGGTGAGAACTAGGGACATAGTTTTAGTCTTGCATACGGATAGCTAGTTTCCCCAGCACCATTTACTGAAGACACTTGCCTTTACCCAGTGTGTGTTCTTGCTACCTTCGTTGGAAATAAATTCACTGTAGATGTAAGGGTTTGTTTTTGGGTTCTCTGTTCTGTTTCATGGGTCCGTGTGTCTGTTTTTATGCCACTACCATGCTGTTTTGGTTCCTGTAGCTCTGCAGTATAAATTGAAGTTAGATAATGTGATTCCTCTAGTTTTGTTCTTTTTGCTCAGAAGAGTTTTATCTATTCTGAGTTTTTTGTGCTTCCATGTACATTTTAGGATTATGTTTTCTGTTTCTGTGAAGAATGTCATTGGTGTTTGATAGGGATTGCATTGAGTCTATAGATTGCTTCGGGTAGTATGGATATTTTAACAAAATGGATTCTTCCAATCCATGAACATGGAATATCTTTTTCACTTTTTATTTCCACTTCAATTTTTTACATCAGTGTTTTGTAATTTTTATTGGAGAGACCTTTCATGTCTTCAGTTAAGTTTATTTCTAGGTATTTTATTTTATTTGTAGCTATTGTAAATGGGATTAGTTTTTTATTGCTTTTTCAGATGATCTGCTGTTGGCATGTAGAAATGCTACTGATTTTTGCATGTTGAATTTGAATCTCCAACTTTACTGAATTTGTTCTTCAGTTCTTAGAGTTTTTTGGTGGAGTCTTTAGGTTTTTCCAAATATCAGAGCACATGATCTGCAAACAAGGATAATTTGACTTTTTCTTTTCCAATTTCCATGTTCTTTATTTCCTTCTCCTGTCTGACTGTTCTAGCTAGGACTTGCAGTACTTTGTTGAACACCTGTGGTAAAAGTAGTCATCCTTGTCTTGTTCCAGATCTTAGAGAAATGGCTTTCAGTTTTCCCCCATTCAGTACATTACTAGCTCTGAGTTTGTCATATATGGCTTTTATTTATATTGAAGTCTGTTCCTTTTATACTGTTTTTTGAGTGTTTTTATCATGAAGGGATATTGAATTTATCAAATGCTTTTTCAGTATCAATTGAAATGGTGGTATGGTTTTGTCCTTTATTCTTTTAATATGATATATTACATTGATTGATTTGTGTACGTTAAACCATCCTTGCATACCTGGAATACATTCCACTTGGTCATGAAGATTGATCTTTTTAATGTATTGTTGCATTCTGTTTGCTGATATTTCATTGACAGCTTTTGCATCAGTGTTCATCAGGGATATAAGCCCATGGCTTGCTTTTTTTTTATGTGTCTTTGCCTGGTTTTGGCATCAGATTCCTGGCTTTGTAAAATGAGTTTGGAAGTATTCCTTCCTCCTCTGTTTTTCAGAACAGTTTGAATAGGCTTGGTATTTCTTCTTCTTTAAATGTTTAATTGTGGTAAAGTGTGCATTACATAAATCTTGCTGTTTAATCACTTTTAAATGTACACTTCAGTGACATTAGATACATTCACAGTTTCATGCAACCCTAAACTCCGTACCCATTAATCAGTATATCCCCATTCCTCCTTACCTCTCTCCCCCAGTAACCACCATTCTACTTTTTGTTTCTATGAATTTGACCACTCTAGGTACTTCATTTAAGTAGAATCATGTAATATTTATCTTTTTGTTTCTGGCTTCTTTCACTTATAATATTTTTGAGGTTCATCCAGGTCAGAATTTCATTCCTCTTAATGATGAATAATACTCACTATATATATGTACCACATCTTGGTTATCCATTTCTAAGACAATGGACACTTGGGTTACTTCCACCTTTCGGATATTGGCAATTAAGCTACTATGATAATGGGAGTCCAAACAGGTCCTCGTGTTCTTGCTTTTCTTTCCTTTAGATATTTACCCAGAAATAGAATTGTTGGATCATGTGGTATTTCATTTTTTAATTTTTAGAGGAATCACCATAGTAGTTTCCATTACAGGTGTGCCATCTTATATTTGCAGAAGCATTGCACAGGGGCTTCAGTTTCTCTACCTCCTTGCCAAGCTTGCTGTGTGTGTGTGTGTGTGTGTGCACGCACGTGCGTGTGTGTTAGATAACAGCCATCCTGATGGGTTTGAAGTGGTATCTGATTGTGGTTTTAATTTGCGTTTTCCTAATGACTACTGATATTGAGCATCTTTTCATGTGTTTATTGATCATTTGTATATTTTCTTTGAAGAATGGGCCATTCAAGCCTTTTGCCCATTTTTCCCCCACATAGCTTCTCGTGGCTACTATGCCCATTTTTGAGTGGGTTGACTGTTTTGTTGTTTTTGTCAAACTTCTTTACATATTCTGGAAACTAATCTCTTATTAGATATATGATTTGCATATTTATTTCATTTCAGGCATTGATTGCTTTTTCACTCTAATCGTGCCCTTTGATGCACAGATGTTTTCATTTTCGTGAGTCCAGTTTGTCAGTTCTTTCTATTCTGTCTGTGCTTTGGTGTCACATCCACGAAAGCTCTGTCAAATCCTGTGTCATGAAGATTATCACCAACGTTTTCTTCTAAGAAAATTTTAAGTTTTAGTTCTTGAGTTTAGAGTTTATGTCTTTTGTTCATTATGAGTTAATTTTTGTATAGAGTGCAAATTAAAGGTGCCATTTTATTTTATTTGAACATCCAGTTCCCCCAGCACTATTGACTGAAATGTAGACTGACTCTTTGAGACCCTGTCGTCTGCCCACCCCGGTGGACACTAGCGGGTGCATGCACTTGCTGTCCTGGGGCCTTGTCATGCTGTCATGCCACTCTTCCACTGGGACCCAAGCCCACACCATTGCTTCCCTCTGGGATACTGACCCCACTGTGAACATCTCTGGGGCTACAACCTTCCTGCCCCTTGCGCCTCATGACCACCCCCTCCCTTGCCCTCACCATGCCCATGATGAGTCTTTTCTCGAGGCAGCTCCCCTTGGCTCCATCTCACTGTCACCTGTGTACCACAGCCACACTGGACATGGGTCCCTCTGAGCCTGAGTCCCTTCCCGTTCCCCAACTTTCCTCTGGCAAGACCTTCCTCCCACCACTGCCTTCATGTTTCTCCATTACCCCTGCAGAAGAGCCACTCCCCGTGGCCCCTATACCCTTAGGGGGCCTGTGGCCCCACAGCCCTGGCACCTGGCCTGCAAGTTTGCCATCTCCATTCCCCCTTCTTCCATTCCTCAGTCCCCTCCTCTATCCTCCCAGCTTCCCAGTTTTCCTTGTATATGAAACCCTTGTTCTTGTCCCTTTGCCCGTGTGCACTTCCTGTCTCCTCAGGAAGGTCAGGACAGCAAACCTGTGTGGTAAGCATCGATGTGAAGTTACTTCCAGGAAGAAGTTTCAACTGTGATTTTCTCTTCCCCAGAGCCCCACAGTCTTCGTTATATCCTCACGGTGCTGTCCCAAGATGGATCTGAGCGTTCGGAGTTTCTCGCTAAGGTACAACTGGACGATCAGCCCTTCCTGCACTACGATGGGCAGAATTGCATGGTAGAAGCAGTCGTGAGAGCTGAGCCCTGTCACAGAGAGATCGAGGACTTGGAAGAGAATAAGAAGGACCTCAAGATGACCCTGGCTGATATCAGGAAGAAGAAAGGAGGTGAGAGTCGGAAGGGGCAAGAGTGACGGGAGAGGCCTTATCCAGAAAAGTTAGGGCAGAGAGCAGCGACCTGTCTCTTCCCATTGGATCTGGCTGGGGCTGGGAGTGAGGAACAGGGTCAGTGGTGCTCACCAAGGAGGTGAGCCAGCACTCAACCAGCACAGGGAGGGACCGAGGAGGGCCAGAGAGGGGTCCCTGCTGGGCTGAGTTCCTCACTTGGGTGGGAAGGTGAGGGGTTTAGGAATGGAGAAGTCACTGCTGGGTGGGGGCAGCCTTGCATTCCCTCCAGGAGATTAGACTCTGTGAGATCCATGAAGACAACAGCGCCAAGGGCATCCGGCATTTCTACTGTGATGGGGAGCTCTTCCTCTCCCAAAACCTGAACACTCAGGAATGGACAGTGCCCGAGTCCTCCGGAGCTCAGATCTTGTCTATAAACATCATGAATGACTTGAAAGAAAATGCAAAGAAAGGGGGCGCTGTGCTGGCAGACTGCCGGCAGAAACTACTAGGATATCTGGAATCCGGGGTGTGCATCCGGAGAACAGGTACCGACCCTAGGCAGGGGCTCTCCTCTCCCCACGGTTCTGCTAGAGTTGCCTCAACTGAGTCCCTTCCCGTTCCCCACCTCCCCTCTGGCAAGAGAAACCTGCCCAGTGCTATGGATGCAGAAATTTCCTGTTGGGGTATTGTGTCCTGATTTTCCTCTCCTGTCAGAGCCAGTGGATAAAGACAGTGGGTCTGGGACAGAACCATCCAGTGCTGGAACCTGGGAAAGCAGGGGATCCTCTGACAGAATCCTGAGCCTGGGGTTGGTGGCAGGCAGGAGAGAAAGCCTTCAGGGACAGGTCTGCCCCATCTGCCTCCCACCCTGCCCATCCCAAACAGTTCCCTCCCTCCTGGCCCCAGACCCAGGAGTCCACCCCTAACATTCCCCTCCTCAGCATCATTGTGGGGATCCCAGAGCTTGAAGCCACAGTCCTGAGGCCCATCCTCCTGCCAGCCCTAGAGGAATTGGACCCCAGGGTGAGGACAGATTTACAGAAGGTCCAGAGTCTGTGAGTGCTTCGGCCAGAGTGGGAACAGTGGAGCCGAGCAGCCCTGTTCCCTGCATCTCCCTTAGAGGGGAGCAGGGCTTCACTGACTCTGCGCTTTCTTCTCCAGTGCCCCCCATGGTGAATGTCACCCGCAGTGAGGATTCAGAGGGCAACATCAATGTGACATGCTGGGCTTTTGACTTCTGTCCCCCAAATATCACACTGACCTGGCGTCAGGATGGGGTATCTTTGAGCCATGACGCCCAGCAGTCAGAGGGTGTCCTGCTTGATGGGAATGGAACATACCGGACCTGGGTGACCATCAGCATTCGCCAAGGAGAGGAGCAGAGGTTCACCTGCTACGCGGAATACAATGGCAATCACAGCACTCACCCTGTGCCCCCTGGTGAGCCTAGGGTGACCTGGAGAGGGTCAGCTGTGGCTCTCTGCCTGATGTATAACAAGTGCCTTTTTTCAGGGAAGATGCTGGTGCTTGAGATTCAACAGTCAGCCAATCCACATGTTCCTGCTGCTGCTGCTGCTCCTGATATTTTTGCTGGTGTTATTATTGGTGTTCTTACTATTGCTGGTGTTATTACTGCTGCTATTATTGCTGTTATTCTTTGATGCAACCTTTGTTGCAAGAAGAGAGCATCACGTGCAGAGGGTCCAGGTGAGAAAAGGGGGCAGTGGCTGGAGATGGGAGGGCTCCTGTCTGGGCACTAGGGTCCCCTCATTGCTCCTGCACAGATAGGCATGTACGTGACCAGGCTTCTGGAACAGGTGTTGGAAGTTGGGGTATTTGGGAGGAGAACAGGAGCCACATCTCCAACTACACCCCTAAATCCTTCCCAAGTTAGGGCTGGGGAAGGCCTTCGAATGTCTAGCTGTGGCCTCTTCCTGCTGCAGGTGAGGAGTGGGCAGCAGGGATGGCCCCTGCTCTGTCCTCATCCCGGTCTCTCTGTCACTCAGGCTCACTAGGGCGCATCCAGGTGGGGTGAGTAGGGAAACACATGTGGAGTGCTGAGGGCCTGGATGATCACAGCCTCAGAGGGAGCAAATAGTAAAGGCAGCTGTGATCTGGGGAGGGCTAGAAAATTGAGAGGAATCGGAGGGGAGGCGGTGTCCCTAGTCCCTTCCTCTCTGCATCCTCTCCCTTGTTTCTCCAGCCATTTGGTGGGGGAGACACCAAGGAAAAGATATATGAGGCCCAGACTGGGGGCCCTGCCTGTGCAGCCCCTTGGAGGCCCTCTTGTAACAAGGAGGGTCCTGGTCGCACACGGCCATCTCTGTCCACTTTGCAGATCCTCATGCGCCTCCTCCAGGAGCTGCCTGGGGGGTGTCATGTCCTCTGGGTCACTCGAGGCATTGCTCTTTCCAGGTTCCCACCACCTGGCCTCCCTGAGTTTCCATGCGGATGATATAGATGAGTAGATAAGCAGATGTCTGTGGACCATTTGAGGAGCGGGGCCCAGCCCCTCATCAGGGCAGCTGCGGTCCCTGTTCTCATCCTACCTCCAGGTGTTTTCTTCTCCAGTCCAGGAGGGACACAGTCTCCAGGGACCATGTTTCTGGGGCTTTGTTCTGTGCTCTGTGGCCTGACCTTGCCCTCCCTGAGGCTATTTCCCTTTCTAAAGGTGGTCACTGCCTGGTAAGTTTGGAGTAAGGGACAGTCAGAATCATTTCCCCCACAGTCAGGTTGTTTGATGGGAGATGAAAAGAGAAAGCAGGAAGTTTTGTGTTTTTGCAAAAAGCGAAGCAGTGCAGGGGACAGTGAGGGGCTGGGGTGTCCAGGAGACCTGGGTCTTTCTGTCGTTTCCCCACTTCTGTGTTCTTGGCCGTAGGGGTGGTGGTTTCTCATTGTTCACCTAATTGCACTGTCTGTTTGTCCCTCAGGCCTGGGCAGATGGGAAGGTTCATCCCGTGCCCTGCAGCAAGAGGACCCCGTCCAGGAGGAACCCGCAGCAGGGGCAGAGCAGGTGTGTGGTGGCTCCTGCTCTCACCTGCGGTGTCTCCTGTAGAGAGATTGTCAGTTCTGGTTTTCTGTGAGCCTGACTGGTTTCCTCACAGGTCATTGGGGGTTTGGCCGGGAAAAGTTATGTGTCAATGTTTCAAAATTCCTGCTTTCAATGTTGATGTCCCATAAAGACGTTTATAATTTCAGCTCTACGATCTCGATAGAATTTCCTCTAATACTGATGTTGTAAAGCATACTAAGTGAAACAGGAACTCACATTTGGAGCTCCCACTCCAGGAGGGTCTGTGTGGGAGACGGTGGCTGTGGCAGTGGCAGTTCCCAGGTGCAGAGGGTGGACAGAGGCCACTCTTGATGTCCAAGAGTGGAAAGAAAATGCATCGAATGGGAAGAGTTCCACCTTTTGGCTATTGAGAATACCGCTGCTATGAGCCCGGGTATACAAATCTCTGTTCGAGGTCCTGAGTACCTGCTTTCAATCCTTTTTGCATCCACTTTGTGTCTGTTTCCTCATGCCAATTATATAACTGATGAGGAATTAGTATTCGAAATACATAAAAACTACAATTCATCAATTTAAAAAAAAAAAAAAAACATTCAAAAATGGGTAATGGACATGAAGAGACAAGTCACCAAAGAAGAAACACAAATGGACAACAGACTCATGAAACGTGCTGAGCTTCACTAGGCTGACTGTTGGTGAGGAGGTGGAGACACTGAAATCCTTGTACACTGCTGGTGGGAATGTACAATGTTGCAGCCACCATGGAAAACAGTATAGTGATTCCTCAAGAACGTAGCAATGGGATTACCATATGATCCAGCAATTCCACTTCTGGTCATATACCAAAAAGAACTGAAAGCAGATACTCAGGCACTCAAACGGATATTTGTACACTCGGGCTCATAGCAGCATTGTTTTCAATAGCCAAAAGGTGGAAGCAAGCCAAGTGTCCATAAATGGATGAATGGATTCAGAAATACGGTATATACACACGGACTATTACTCAGCCTTAAAATGAGTAAAATTCTGACACATGCGACGACATGGATGAATCTTGAAAACATCACGATCAGTGAAATAAGCCAGAAACAAAAGGACAAATATTATATGATTTCACTTACAGAGAATAGGCAAATTCATAGAAACAGAAAGTAAGTGGAAGTTACCAAGAGCTGAAGGTGAAGAGAATGTAGAGATATTTTAGTAGGTACAGCATTTCTGCTTGGGATGATGACAAAGTTCTGGAAATGGATATTTGTGGTGGTGGCTTTAGAACACTTACAATATTGTGCTTTGTAAACACACCTGCAAAAATGTGCTTGACGCCAATGAATTGTACCCTCAAAAATGATTAAAAAGTAAATTTTATGCCGTGTATGTTTAACCAAAATGAAAAACAGTAAACCCAATCACTTCTCATTCCTCTATGGCCTCCACCCCAGAACCATCCTCCCTAGGCTAGTAACCTAGAAGGGCCTTCCAGCTGGGCTGCCTACTGCCTTTTACACCACTGCAATTACCCACACAACAAAGGCACAGTGAGCCTTTCAAATGGTAATTAGAGCACAACCTCACCACCACATTCCACAGACACTCAGCTTCTTCCCTTCTTAGCACAATGAAACTCCAATCTCTTACCATTTCCTACAAGCCCCTCAACACAGGGCCCCTCTGGCAACTCTGGCCTCATCCCACCCCTCACAGCAACAGCTCACTCTTCTCCAATCACAGCAGCCTCTTGTCACTGCTCTGTCCTGCCCCTGCCACCTGCCCCTGCTGTGACTCCAACATGTACCTGCTCCCCAGGAATCCACATGGCTAACTCCTCACATGATTCAGGTCTCTGCTCAAATAACTAGTGATCAAGTTCTCAGAAACATCTTGTTCAATGACCTTGTCTAAACTGTATCCCCTGCTATTTCCACCACCACCAATCTTCTGGCCTAGGCATATTTTTCTCAATGGCAATTATCAGTAATACTAGACTTTATTTAGTTACTGTCCATGAGTGTATCAGGGTTCCCCAGACAGACACAACCAACTGGATAGATAGATAGACCATAGAGAGAAGAGAGAGGATTTATTAGTGGAACTGGATTACACAATTATGGAGGCTGTGAAGTCCCGTCATAAGCCATCAGGAACCTGAAGAACCAGGGAAGGCAGTAGTGTAGTTAGAGGGTAAGAAGGTCCCATGGTGCTGGTGTCAGAGTCTGAAACCATAGAACCTGGAGTTCTGATGTCCAAGAGCAGGAGAAGAAGGGTGTCCCAGCTCCAGAGTGAGTCAATGAGACTTTCCTCTGCTTTTTTGTTCTATTTGCAATCCCAGGTAATTGGATGATGCCTTCCTACTTTGAGAGACATCTTCCCCACTCAGTCCACCTACTCACACCTCAATCTCCTCCAGAAGTACCCTCACAGATGCACCAATCAGTGATGTTTTACCAGCTGTCTACATATCCCTTAATCCAGTCAATTTGATACCAAAAATTAACCATCACAGTTAGTATTATATATGTTCTTTGAACAAGGAATCTTGTCCATATGTCCCCAATGTCATTATTAGTAAAGAATTAGTGTTCGATAGTACTTATCTATTAAATGCATGAACAGGCCAGCACAACAATTTAGAGACAAGATTGGCAATGTGTATGAAAAGGCTTTAGCATGTTCAGTCTTTAACCTAATATTTATCATTTGAGTAATCTCTGAGTATTTTCAAATCCCAAACATAGAAGAACCTTTAGGTACAAATATGCTCTCAAAACATTGTTTACAACAAGACACGATGAGAGCAGATGGATCCAAGAGAAGCTGAGTTATGTCTCCTTGTTTGAAGTGAGATGTAGTTGTGAAAGTGTTCAAACTTTATGCAGACTTTGTAACATGAAAACTACTCGTGTAATAATACACTCAACAAGAGCCATTCAAGACAACCAATAACACATGAATGCAACTTTGTAAATTGAAAGCATATATAAAAATATGAGGATGAAACTCTGATTTTTAAATCTTGCCCAAATTCCTATCTAAGGGGTCTTGGGAGCCATGCCCTACAAACCATACAACCTCATCAGATGGGTTTTATTTAACCCTATATATTGTGACTTAGTTTCTAACCTGCCTCTGGCATAACATTGTGAGACAAGGAAGAAAATAAAATTTTTTTACCCTCAAAACATGTTCCTTTGTCACATTTTGAATTGGCCCTGCAAGCTGTCCTTTGTGGGAGAAAATTCACATCTGCAAAGAATCCCTATTAACGTAGCTAGACCGGCTTTGCATGGTGACTCACACCTGTAATCCCAGCAATTTGGGAGGCAGAGGCAGGTGGATCACCTGAGGCCGGGAGATCAAGACCAGCCTGAGCAACATAGTGAAACCCCATCTCTGCAAAAATACAAAAATTAACTGGGCGTGATTGTAGGTGTCTGTAATCCCAGCTACCTGGGAGGCTGAGGTAGGAGAGTTGCTCAAACCCTTGAGGCGGAGGTTGCAGTGAGAAGATATCGCGCCATTGTACTCCAGTCTGGGTGAGACTCCATCTCTAAAGAAAACAAAAAGCAACAAACAAACAAACAAAACATAGTTAGATTATTTCCTTCCAGGCCCCTCCAATTCTGAATAGATTAACTGAGAGTCTAGCATCTTTTAAAATGTCTGAATAGGAAACATTTGTCATTTATTGTCTCTAAGAGCAGCAGCTGTGAGACTTCAAAAGAACCTTGGTCTCTACAATCTTTGATATAACTTGAACATTTCCTTCCTTTTTTCTTAAATTTGAGATGGAGTTTTGCTCTGCCACCCAGGCTGGAGTGCACTGGTGCCATCTTGGCTCACTGCAACCTCTACCTCCAGGGTTCAAGTGATTCTCTTGCCTCAGCCTTCCTGGGATTACAGGGATGCACCACCATGCCCAGCTAATTTTTGTATGTTTGTAGAGATGTGGTTTCACCATGTCGGCCAGGCTGGTTTCAAACTCCCGACCTCACATAATCCTCCCACTTCAGCCTCCCAAAGTGCTGGGGTTACAGACATGAGCCACCACACCCAGCTGAACATTTTCTTTCTATCGAATCCAAGGTCCTTAGCAAAAACTCGATTGTCTACCAGAAAGTGTTCACATTTACCTATAACCTGGAAGCCCACTCCCCACCTGCTTTAAGTGGTCCCATCTTTTTGGAACAAACCAGTGTATTCCTTAAATATTGATGTCTCATGCCTACCTAAAATGTATAAAACCAAACTGCACACCAACTACCTTGGGCTCATGTTCTCAGGACCTCCTGAGGACTGTGTCAAGGGCCATGGTCACTCATATTTGGCTCAGAATAAATATCTTTAAATATTTTCCAGAGTTTGACTCTTTCTGCCAACACGTATATATATACAGAAAACAACAGAATGAAAATCAGCACCATCGTATAGGACAGCTCCAGGGACCACCACTCACACTGCAGTCAGTAAAATGGTTGCAGGGATTTTCTAAGTGGAGATTTAAGTGGTATTTGTATCTTTCTTCTGACCATTTTCAGGTCTTCTATGACCAAATAGATTCTGAGTCTTGTACTCTAAAAATCATGTATTTTAACTTTCAAAATAAAATAGTTGAAGTAAAATAACAATAAGTGGCCAGGGGCAGTGGTGCATGGCTGTAGTCCCAGCTATTTGGGAGGCTGAGGCCGAAAGATGGTTTCCGCCAGGAGGTTGAAGCTGCAGTATGTTATGATCGTGCCTGTGAACAGCTGCTGCTCTCCAGCATGGACAGTATAGCAAGGCCCATCTGTAAAGTAATAATCACAATAAAAGCAAGTCCAGATCTCCTTCCTACACCTTCCTAAAGCAAATTTCTCATTTGCATTGCACAGGGCAGAAATGTCTATTGATGAGTCCTTCAGAGAGAAAAAATGAATTCTTCCTCCACACTCCATGATCCACCTTTTCGTTATAGAGTTGAGCTGAGCAATCAATGCAACACTAAGAATGCCATCAACTTATAGATTACTATTTAAATATATATAGTTCTCACCATACCTGAGAGGTAGATGGATTCTTCCCTCCCACAGATGAAAAGCTGAGTCACTGAGAACCTGAAGAGTTGGTCTAGGATTGCTGACAATGTTGGCCTTGAGACGTCGGAGACACTCAGGCTCCTGCAGGTCCACCTTGGCATAAACCACATCAGTGGAGACTCCACAACAGCAGAAGGAGCACCTGAGATCCGGGAACATTCCCACTCGTAGAGAGTCCACACCCAGTGGAATGCAGCTGAAGGATGGGCCAGGATTAGAGTCCAGCTTTTTCCTTCAGCTGGGGAGGAAGTTGAGGGGAACCTAGAGCTATTGTTAGTTCCTCTGCTGAGAACTTTACCCTACAGAGAAAAAACTCTACACTCACTGGTAAGCAGTTCTTTCCAGAGTTGCAGATTCTTTTTAGAAATGCAAAAAAGCAGATTCTTTTTAGAAATGCAAACATGACTTCCCTAACATTAATGTCAACTATTGGCCCTCTTACTAATCATCTTAATTAAGTAATCTCCTAACTCCCACTGAAATTAGCCCCAGGGTTGCATCTGAGCATTTGGATCCAAGACAGGAAGTCATTTTGGGGTTTGGACCTGGCTGATCTGGGACTGTCTTCTAAAACGAGGCTTTTTACTTGCAGAGGAGCAAAGGTGAGCTCTGTTTGGAGGAGAAAAGACAGAGGGACAGATTCCCAAGAGAACTCAGAAGCTTATCATGCAAAAGAGTTTAGAATATATTTT